TGCTTTAAGAAGTATACAGCATTGTCTCTAATCCTGCAGGCTCTATTGTAGCAGATAGTCTTTGTGCATTTGTTTAGACTTTTTTTGAAGCCATCAAAACTCTACTATCATTATAATTTGGGCAGTCAGTGGTGAACACTTACAAAGACATAATCGATGCCATGTATGAGTATTAGTGGCCAATCCATCTGCATTCATTGCTCCTAATCTTTCTGCAAACATATAGAACTTTTTTGGGGGGAAAGATGATGCAGGTGAAAGAGAAACTATTCAATATATGGCATTCCAAAAAGTTCTGTCAAGAATTAAATTGGAGGCAAGGTTCTATTTTGTGTGGGTAGGACAATTTTCAAGGACAAAAATTATCTAATGTTTGCAAGATCCAGATTTCATCACTCACTCCTATGCAGTCTGTGTTCATGGGCCAGGTCTTTTTAGTCTGGGCAGGGGAACAGCTGTGTTTCTCAGCTGCTTCCTCCCAACCTCATTTATTTAGAGACATATTGCTTTTGGATAGGGGAATTCCATTTAGTTTTCTTAGCTAATAGAAAGGGGGTGGGAGTTTTCAGAATCATTCTTTCACGACCTTTTGCTGGACAATAATTTCTATCATACCAAGCCAGGATGACAACTCAGCATGGGATAACATGGGAGTTTTCCATATCTTTCAGAATAATCAGATAGTAGGTGTGTGCAAGATGAGTGACTCTATAAATGTGATAATAAATACAAACAAATAAGTACATGTACCCATGCAAAAAAGTGGCCATTTTGGGGGAGTAATAATTCAAATAAAAATTTCCTTGTAGGGTCCTGTTGCTCTCTGAACACCAGCTACTGTAGAGGAGCATATCCATGAACACCAAGCAGCAGTCAAAAGACATGTTGAAGAACTCTTTAATTACACAACACATGGACAGATTTAACCATAGTTTGAACTGGGAAACTGTGAACATGTTAGACCAAGGCAAGTCTAGAAAAACTAGAGAATTCCTATAAACCTGACACCCAGACAAATTGGCCATCAACAGATACACACAGATTAACTACATCTACATACCACTGAAGAGAGAACCACAAAGTCAAAAAGGGAAGAAAAAGAGAAGAACACCTCACCAGCAACCAACACTGAGATGAGTAGAGATTAACATCAATGGACCCAGGAAATTACAGGCTTATCAGCCTGACCTCAATACCTGCAAAAGATAATCAAACAACGAATCAGCGAACACCTAGAGGCAAACAAAGTCATTACTAAAAGCCAACATGGGTTTGTCAAAAACAGATCATGCCAGACAAATCTTATTGCATTCTTTGACCAGGTGACAAAATTAGTGGATCAGAGGAATGCTATGGATATAATTTACTTGGACTTCAGTAAGGCATTTGATAAAGTAAATCAAAACCTACTACTTGATAAGATAGAAAAATGTGGGTTAGACAGCATCACCACCAGATGGATCCATAGCTGGCTGACTGGCCATACTCAGCATGTGGTCCTCAATGGAACCGCATCTACATGGAGGGACGTGTGTAGTGGGGTGCCACAGGGCTCTGTTCTGGGCCCAGTGCTCTTCAACATCTTCATCAACAATCTGGACGAGGGGATAGATGGGGAAATCATCAAATTTGCAGACGACACCAAGCTGGCAGGAATAGCCAACACTCCAGAAGACGGGCTTAGGGTACAGGAGGATCTGGACAGACTTGAACACTGGACGCTATCTAACAAAATGAAATTCAGTGGTGAAAAAAGTAAGGTTCTACATTTAGGCAAGAAAAACCAAACGTACAGAGGTACATTTGTGAGAGTTACCTCGGAGTCCTAGTGGACAATCACTTAAATATGAGCCAGCAGTGTGCTGCAGCTGCCAAAAAGGCCAACATAGTGCTAGGCTGCATTAACAGAGGGATAGAATCAAGATCACGTGAAGTATTAATACCACTTTACAATGCCTTGGTAAGGCCACACTTGGAATATTTCATCCAGTTTTGGTCACCATGATGTAAAAAAGATGTTGAGACTCTAGAAAGAGTACAGAGAAGAGCAACAAAGATGATTAGGGGACTAGAGGCTAAAGTATATAAGGAACAGCTGCTGGAATTGGGTATGTCTAGTTTAATGAAGAGAAGGACGAAGGGGGACACGATAGCAGTGTTCCAATATCTCAGGGGCTACCACAAAGAAGAGGGGGTCAAGCTATTTTCCAAGGCGCCTGAAGGCAGGACAAAAAGCAATGGATGGAAACTAATCAAGGAGAGAAGCAGCTTAGAACTAAGGAGAAACTTCCTGACAATTAGAACAATTAATCAGTGGAACAACCTGCCTCCAGAAGTGTTGAATGCTCCAACACTGGAAGTTTTTAAGAAGAGACTGGACAGCCATTTGTCTGAAATGGTATAGGGTTCAACCAGATGTTCAGACTGGATTTGGCATTTTGTCTACCTATCGAGTCCTTACCCAGGCAGATGTGGATGTTTGATGGTATTACAGGTATCGTCACAGGATGGAAGCAGTTCCTAGTAAGGCCACCAATTGACTAATAGCAAATTTGTCAATGCCAATGGTGTTTAAGTGGTGCTCCAGTTGTTTTGGGATTGTACCCAAGGAGCCCATTACTGTTGGTTCTAACCTGGCTTGCTTTTGCCACAGTCTTTCTATTTCTATTTGTAGGTCTTTGTATTTTGTTATCTTCTCCAGCTCTTTCTCGTCTATTCTGCTGTCTCCAGAATAATAATAATAATTATTATTATTATTAGATTAACACTAGACAGCAATCAAGAAATAATCAATACCCCAATCAAGGAACTACTAATTTAAAGAAAAGCTAGCAGTAAACAGCCTAATCAAGGAGCTATTAAGAACACTACCACCAACACTGACAGGATAGGGCACTAGTATATAAAATGAGGGCAAACTCCACTCACTTCTAGCACTGATGATGTTGCCTAGTTTGGTAATGAAATGTCTGCAAGAAAAGAACCAAGCTCATTGAGCACCAAGGACCCCACAGTTCAACCCTGAGCTACAAATATTCTCTTCTATAAGAATTTCCTTTTCCTATATAGGAGTTAGCAATTCTAATTAAAAGTATTCCATTCCCCCAGGTGACTAACAGAAAAGCAAGGAGAGTATCCATGCATATTTTTCGGATTTATCTGCCTACTGAGGATTGTGAAAATTTGCCTTGGGCAGGAGATAAGCAGAATCTGTAAGGAAGCTGATAGATATAACAATTAGCCCAGGACATGCTGAGATCTGCTTTTGAACTTCAAACAGCTGTGTACACAGCTAAGCTAAGGGGCCTGCATGATGCTACTTTGCTAGCCAATAATGCAGGAAATGCTTTCTAATGGAAATAGCTATGAGTCTTGACTTGGATTATAGCATAAAGGTTACTCAGAGGTGTATAGCCAGCCAAAAGAGGAAATGTCCATTGGTATCTAGCTTAGATAAAGTAAAATGGAATCTAGATCCGGGCTTTGGATTTTTTTTTTCTTTCTTTCTTTCTTTCTTTCTTTCTTTCTTTCTTTCTTTCTTTCTTTCTTTCCTTTCTTTCTTTCTTTCTTTCTTTCTTTTTCTCTTTCTGGGTTTCCTTTTTACTGTCTCTAGCTTGGTATACTTTATTTTCTTTTCTAGTATTTACTCTCATTCTCGCAATGCACCAGTTAGGTACAATCCAGATATCACATAAATATTGGTAATATACAGTTTTTCTTTTTACTTGCTCAGTTGTTGGCTAGGAAATTGGGAATACTGGGAGTGTCAGGTCAAGGAAAATTGCTGTATCTAGTATCATCAGGATGAGTGGGACTACAGTTTCCAGGATGGAAGTGATGAGGAAAAGAATTGCATGGACATCCAATTATCAGAAGTGCTAATAATATGATTCAAAGGGTTTCTGATTCAAAGATTGCTTCTGCCATGAGCTTGTATCAGTGACAATACAAGGACATCCTTTGCGATCTGTCTGAAAAGTTTTAATTACTCTAACTCACCTCTGTTGCTTAACCATAGCTGTAATGCTACATGACATGTAGGCAGGCAGGCATAGCCACACTTCTCTGTGCATTAATGATTCGCTTGTGGAGATGATTACCAGCGTCAAATTCCTGGATGTGCGGTTAACAAGTAGGCTGGCTTGGTCACTCAACAGCGAGACCCTGGTGAAGCTGGCACAGCAGCGCCTGCATTTACTGCATTGCAGGAGAAAAGCACATCTTCCTTCCCCTATCCCTACCACTTTCTACAGAGGGACAGTTGAGAGCATCCTGTCATACAGTATCGGAATCTGGTTTAGAAGCATCACTGCTTCAGACAGGAAGACGGTGCAGAGAGTGGTGAGGATGGCAGAAAAGATAATTGGCAATTCCCTCCCTTCCATCCAGGACATAGCACATAAGCGTTGCTTGAGCAGGTCCGCAAGATTGTCTGGGACAGTACAGTACACATTCTCTTCACGAACCATTTTCCTTGTTACCTTGCGAGAGGAGGCTCCATGGTATCTGAAGCAGAATATCCAGATTCAGTCACAGTTTTGTTCCGTACAGTATTAACCTTGTGAACTCTAAAGCTTCCTACTGTCATTATGCATTCAAGATGGACAGTGATTAATATTTATATATTACTTATATGCAAGGGTGTAATAGGTCTATACATATATTGTATATAGTATGTTTAAATGTGTATTATGTATGTGTACACTTTGAGAGCAAGCAACTAAATTTCATTTTTAACATATGCCATTATGCCTACAGTAAAAAATGACAATAAAGGTTATCTATCTATCTATCTATCTATCTATCTATCTATCTATCTATCTATCTATCTATCTATCTATCTAATACCTGGCAATTAATCTCACTGGATTTATTTTGTAGATAAAATGATAAATTGTATACATTTACTTAATTTATAGAAAGAATTGCAGGAAAAAGGGCTTATGCGTTCTAAATGGTTACCAAATCATTTGTTTTGATTTGATGTTTTCTCTTTCCAGATCCATGCCTTTATGAACAGTTTTGTTGAAGAAAATCATCAAGAAAAAAAGGAGGATCTTCTGGTGATGCGGTTTCTATCTGTTAATTCCATTGTGAACCCCTGGGCGTTTGTCATCCTGAGGCCTCCCATCCTTCGGCTAGTGCGATCCATACTGTGCTGTCAGATACCCTTAGAATCACAACCAAAGAATAGGCAGAATTTGTCTCTTGCCAAACCAGTGCCTGTGGAACAGATGGACAATTGCAGACAATAGAACATGGACTCAGAGAAGGCATTCAAGTGCCCATTTCTCATGGCTCCTCAGGGAAAATATGGAACTGAGACTGGAATTGTAGCATAACGTCTTTTCCTGGGGTCATTGTTCAGCTACAGCATCTGTGATTCCAAGCTGTCTTCTCGTTCATCCTAAGGAGACCTGAGAAGACTCTCCAAATTCAACCAATCCTAAATATTTCCAGTCTAACTGCAAGACGATAACAGTGGGCTAAAGAAGCAGATTGGAAGGAGCTGCCTTCTGCCAATCATGGCAATGGTTTATCTTGCTGCAGTGTTTAAGGAAGCTTACAATATTTCAGATAGGAGTTTGTCCCAGTTCCACCTGCAGAGTGTCCACAGAAATAGTCAAAACAATCAAGATGGTGGCTAAGATGATGCGATAAGTGCTTCATCTTTGTTTATGAGTGTCACATTTGCAGAGCTTCAATCGCTCCGATGCAGAAACATCTTGATTTGTTTGACCATAAGCCATGGTTATCCCTTCTGTTTTCTCTCCAGGACTTGTGCAACATCTTCTGAAGAGAAAAAGAATTAAGGATGCACAGAAAACCTTGGATGCAAAGTTGCCACTGAACTGTATTTTTACTCCTATCAAAGAGGGAAGAAAACTAAATACCTAACTTATTAATTAAGCAACTTATTTAATTTATTTCTAATTGCACATAGTTGGTATAAAGTAATCAAACTTTTTTTAATCCTGAGCCAGCTTTTTTTTTAAAAAATGCCCCATGCTGTAGCATATATAGGCCAGAGCTGGCCTTTGTCATGAAAAGCTATGGCCCTTATAGTAACACTTGGATTTTTTTTTTAAAGTAAACATTAGGATACACTAACGGGGGTGTGGAAATCCAGATAAATACTTTGTGGAACAAAGACATTTTTCTGTATTTTTCTGCTATCTAGTAGCTCTTTTGATTTTTTCATCTCAGATATGATAGCACTTAGGTGTCTGTAGGGTGTGATCATAAAGTGAAGATGACGTCCATGACATAAAAAAACAGACTTCACTTTATGATCACACCCTGGAGACATCCCTGATAGCTCTAGTAAACTTTTACTGGTGTTCTTTTCATTTTCACATTTCTGTTACCTCTCCCTGTATTTAAATAGTTCAGAAATAAGGCCCATTAAATTCAGTGGGATTTATTGCCAGATATGTAAATTCAGCATTACAGCTACAATTAAACAAATGATCAGTCAGGTTTGTTTGTTTTTTTAATGAGAAGGACAAATTACCCTGGATCATTAAGCCAATGCTGTGGGTTTATGTCTGTTTTGCCCAGAGTACCCAGATGCCACCTGCATATCAAATCAAATATAAGCTAATATGTAAAATTTGCTTCTTTTCTATTTCATAAAGAATTGATGATATTAATGAAATCACATTCAAACAAATATCAGTAAGTGCAGTGACAAAACGTAATCAGAGTCTTGTGACCCATAAGGACACATTTATTGTAGCATAAGCATTTTATGAACTGCAGGCTGCCTTATCAAATATTATGAAATATTATATCAAGTGACAAGTATATATAAACTAACTGAGAGGGGAGAAATGCAAATGCAAGGCTAATGGGAATGCAATCATACAGATACTGTTCATAAAAGTTATTTATTGGTATTGGATACTTACAGAATAAATGCACAGAGACATATGTGCATTGATGAGTTCATTTACACAAATAGTGTGTGATTATTTTTTTTAAAGAAATCTATTCCACTTTATTCAAGTCACAGGGCATGGAATGAGCCACATGTGTAAAAGTAACCATTATGTGAGTAATGGAATAACATTTTTCTAATAAAAAGTTGTCTTCACAATTTTAATAGTGCCTCTGTTCTTATCTGTAGAACATCTGACTCAATTTCATACACTTCTTTGGAGGAATGGAATGTTTAATATAACAATCATAAAGTTTAGTGCTCTGGCAAAAAAATCATAACAATCATTGTGTTACATTTTACTTTATTTATAGATTGGAAAAAATCAGTGGGAATCCATTACAGTAATCTAGAATGTCTGCAGCGTATCTAAATATTTCCCTGCATCAGGATATATCAGTAGATGTTGGATTCCATTTTGTGGCATTTTAAGTCCTAAAGTCTAGTGAGAAGCCAAATCAAGTCTCCTTTAAATCAAGGTTGATGCCTGGTGATACCCATGTCATTTTCTTTGAAACAGTCTGAAGGTGGTGTGCTATTTCCATCTTCTGAATTATTTTTTTTACTTTCCACTTTAGCTTACTGCCCTAATGTTCATTGTCCAAGTCTTAATTGCATTTGATCAAGCTTTCAGTAATAGCAACAAGAAGCTGCATTTTTTCCAGGCTCTTGGTCACAGCCTGAAAAAAGGGAGGTTGCAGTATAGCAGAGAGGAGCTGTCTTTCTAGTACAAAGTACTAAAAAGTACAAAGCACTTCAAAATTGTTTTTAAAAGATTCAGAATATTAACTCTAAAAAAGTGAACCAGTCTGATATAGTTAAGGTACTGGCCAAGAAAATGGCACACTGTGAGTTCTAATTCCGCCTTAGTCCTGAAAGTTGGCTGGAAGCCCTAGGCCAGGGGTAGGCTTGAAAGTCAGCTGGGTGACTTTGGGCCAATAACCAGGAGACTGTGAGTTCTAGTTCCACCATAGGCTTGAAAGCCAACTTTGGGCCAGTCACTCTCTCTCAGCACAACCCATGTCAGAGGATTGTTGTGGGGGAAATAGGAGGAGGAAAACATACTAGGAATGTTTACCACCTTGAATTATTTATAAAGTAATAAAGGTGGGACAAAAATTTAATAAATAAAAATAAAAGTGCCAGAAAGATGATCCCAGAAGATTAGCATCTCTAGGGCCAGTGATATTATAATGCTAGGCTGAAAAATTACTTCTAGATAAAGTTGTTTGGCTTTGTTCTGTTAGGAAGCTCATGGGAATTAGGACATGTTAATTGAAGTGTGTGCCTGATAGCATGTGCTATAAAATAATGCTAATATAAATTTCCCCTACTAAATAGAAAAATAAATTTCAAAAGAGCATTTATTTTTTTCTCATTCAAAAGGTAACCAAATTTTCCTTATCAACGAAAGTGGAGAAAAAATATGCTTTTAAAAATGTTTATTAAGCATTGGCAATCTGTTAGAATGCAAAGGCAAAAGCTTAAAAACGGAATTTCCCTCATTGAATGACATATTTGTTTTCAGGAATATAACCAAATTGAAAATTTTTAACAGTATTTTTCAAATTTAGCAACTTTAAGATTTATGAACATCATGGTTGGCTGAGGAATTCTGGGGGCTGAAGTCTACACATCTTAAAGTTCCCAAGTTTGAGAAACACTGTTTTAGAAGGACTTTTGTTGTAAAGAAAGGATTCCAAGGGCAGGTTTCTTTTCATAAATTGGAGATAAACTGTACTTATCCAAGAATAAGGCCTTCTTGAATTTTTTTGAAATTGTTTCTGACAAAATGTACATAGGCTGGGACTGTACTATGCCAAAATGTAACTTTGGAAACCACTTCTCAAGAAGCTTGGATATTACAGTGCACTATATAAACATTAACAGTTGTATAATTTGACTACAGCAAACTTCCTTGCAGTTTGTGACTTCACAAGCTGTGATGGCAAAACATTTGACTCTCTTCCAAAATCTACAGGATGTAGGCTGTCCTTTTGAATAAAAGTGGGAGGCGAAGGTAGCAAATTGTGCAATGAGTGCAGGAGTGACCTGGCTAGAACATAAAGATCTGGCTATATATTGCTTGCATATTTATCTTGGAGCTACAGAAGTATTATTTTTGTTTATGAGCATACACCCACACCCAATGTAAAGAAAGAAAACCTCTGGTTCAGGAGAAGCTTATTTTTTGTCAGTCTTCCATAGTCTCAGAATCTATAATGGCATGTAGGAATGATCTTAGGAGACAAGGGGAAGAGTCAGAACCAGGAAACCATTGGATAAGAGGCACCTTCATCCACAGAAGGAATTAGGGCATGGCAAACAACACAAAATGGACTCCCCCCCCCAGTTTCTTGGGCTTTAAAGGTGACAGGAAAAATGTACTTTCAGACTTGCGAGATTCTGTTAATGTAACCTTACAAAAAGTAGAATTAATTCATCTGGGTGTGCTTCTTGGGTGGACCATCTCACAAGGCTGACATATAAGATGCATCTGAAGGTGATAAAGTGGGAACATAGGAACAAAATAGACACAAAGAGCTTTTCATGCTGCAGGAGAGGAAGTTGAACTGGGTGAAAAAGTAGGCAGGAAGAGAGTGGTGTCTGAATTGGAGAGACAGAGAAGATGACAGATATAAGCAAAGTGCCTGATGATGAATGGCAGGTTTCAGAATGGATCAAAGTCCACTAAAGGTCTGTGAATTCCTGAGGGTATAGAAGATTATTAAAGATGAACAGGATAGTATGATATAGTATCCTGTCTACCCACTACAGAAATACAGAGAGGGAGAAAAGGACCTGTAGATTAAAGTTCTGGTAACTGCAAGAAGCTGCCAGCTATGTCTAACAAAAATCTTTAATGAACTCTAGAGGGAATTTCGTTCAGCTTCATACATTAAAATAGCTTACAGTATACTGATTTGCAGAAGAAGTGTAACTCCACAGGCAGGAAAAGGGTTAATTCCACACCGGCAGAGAAATTAGTCATAAAGTAATGTAGTATTTTTACTGCATGCTCACCAGCTGCTTGCCACTTAAAAAGCTATCTAGTTATAAAAGTCAAGCTGTCAGAGAAAGCAATGTTGTTCTATATTTCATGGATTTGTCTCCTACTCCATTGAACAACAGCAACAAAACCCAACAGCAAATATATGTATCGTGGAGCAAAGAAATTTACTGAATATCACTTTGATCAGTCATAATGGCAATCAAAACACAAATATCGTGCCTCATAGACCATATTATCTATGAATGTAGCATTATTAAAAATAATCTCATTATAAGGTAAGAGATAAGCTAAACTGCTAAGCTAAACCAAGCTAAACTAAGCTAAGAGATAAAATAAGAAGATAAGCTAAGCTAAGCTGATAGGATGATAGAATCGGGTAGGGTAGGATAAGACAAGACAACCTTTATTGTCACTTTTTTTTAACACACTGGCACACATTAAAAAATGAAATTCTGATGCCCACTATATATATATATATATATATATATATATAATATGCGACTCCCGGGAATAATTATAAATGGAATGAATAAAGCGCGTTCACCAGGGCATAATTATAAATGGAATGAATAAAGCGCGTTCACCAGGAGAGTTTAAAGTTAAAATACTTTAATTAAAGTATTTTACTATATTAAAAGGTTGCCAAGCTTTCGTTGGGAAAACTCCCCAACATCTTCAGGGCTGAGAGACCGTTTCTAACAAGGTGATTTAAACGGGTTCCATAGACGTCTGCGCTTGGTTCCTAGACCGTGCCAGCATTCCCGGCTGAACAGCTGATAGGTGGGAGGGGGAATCAGAGTAAAGATTTCTTCCGTCGTTCTTTCGAGCACTTGTGTTCACATCTCCGTTTGAATCATCCTCCTCCATCATGGTGTCCTCCATGCTCATCTTCCCTCGTAGGTCAATATTCAAGTTAAATCCCCCCCATTTCTGTGAGCAAAAGTCTGTTGGTATTTGGGCAGATTCCCCGCTCATGTTACTTTCCCTTTTATCAAGCGAACGGGTCGTCATCACATGTTTTTTCTCCCCTCTCTGTATGGGACATTCACTTTTATTATTATTATGGGTAGTGCTAAATTTAGTGGTTCTATCCTCAAATTTCTTAAGCGCTCCAATGTCATTATTGTTGTTTTCTCCAATTAAAGGGGTGTGTGGTTTCCCCTTGATGTTGTTGGGAGGTTTCTGGGTAGTCTATATCAGATTGTTTCTGGTAGGGAGGAGGTGTAGCTCCTGGTTTAGAACGTTGTGGATGTTTATTGTAAGGTTTGTGATATAAAGGATGATGGTTTGAGTTCCATTTTCATAGCGCTTGTTGTGCTGGGTGCAAGTCAATGTGACGATTGATTGAGTTGTTATTCAAGAACCATGCTTCTTTTAGCAGCCGACCTCCCTTCGTGGCATCACTGGCTACGATAAGGGTGTTATTGAAGTCAAACTGATGGCCTTGTTGTGCCATATGCATCCAAAGTTGTGAGTGTGGTTCGCCTCGTTTTATGGCCAGTTTGTGTTCGTGGAGGCGAGTTTTCAAGCGTTTGGCTGTTTCTCCCACATAGTTGCCTTCGCAGTTTTTGCAGTTGATCTTATAAACAATAGCAGATTTCTCCATGGTAGGTAGGGGGTCCTTTGGACGCATAATTTTTGATCGTAGGGTTTGGTTAGGTTTGTGAGCTACTTCTATACCATGGGGTGCTAGTAGTCTGGCTGTGGCCTCTGAGATGTTACTTATGTATGGGAGGGAGATGCGTGTTTTTTGTAGGGGGGAATCCCTTCTTCGTTGGGTGGTCCGGTGCTGGAAGGTTGTACAATGTCGTTTGATCAATTTTAATGGATAACCATTATATATGCACGTATGGAAGAGGTGTCTCCTCTCTTCTTTCTTATATTCATCGGTGCTGCAGTGGGAGTCAACGCGTTTAAATAACGTTTTAATGCAGCTGATTTTATGTGAAACAGGATGATTACTCTGGTAATGGAGGATTCTATCTGTGTGGGTTGGTTTACGGAATACCTTCGTATGTAGGTATCCATCTGGTTGACGGTGGATGGAAACATCTAAGAAGGCAAGAGAATTGTGTCTTTCTTCCTCTACAATAAACCTTATGTCAGAGTAGATGGAATTTAATATTCCCATAAATGTAGTTACATGTTGTCT